CGCGAAAGGGCGGCGAAAGGGTTGTTTTTGGGAGAGAGAATATTGGACAGCCCCCATGTAGGCCTCCATGGATGGTGCCCCCCAAGGACCAATGTTGTAACATTGATTTATTTTGGTGTATTCTGCGGTTGAAGGCGATGATTGCGGGTACTGATTTGGGATATCTTGACATAGCACCATTCTATGTGCAGATAGGGCCCAGCTGTAATTATCCATGTTTGGGTACTTAGGGGCCTTTTGGGGGTGGATTATAGTTGCTCTGAACCTGCAAACCCCTTAACCCTACTGTGCAAGCTCCCTGGAAACCTCTAAACCAATCAACCCTAAACCCCTCAACTCGAAACCCTAAACCCCTGAACCCCTAGGGTTTAGGGTTTAGGGTCAACCTTCAACCTAAAGCGCCGAAGTCCCGACCCCAAACCTGCCACGCAAGTCCCACGCGCAGGGGCCGTGAACGTAAGGGCCCTGAGGCGTTCTGACCCTGCAATTGGGAAGCTTAAGTGTTTTGCAAAGGGTTTGGGGTTTAATTTAATGTTCGGAGCTTTCATGTGTGCTACAGTCTGAAAGCCTCAAATTGTCAAAGGACGTTCTATCTTGGATTCTACGGGGGAGTATTGAAGGGGCTTAAATTATAGCTCATGTAGGATTTAGGTTTTGGGGGTATGTTGAGACCATTTGCAGAGCTTCTTCAGCATTTTAGGGTTAAGTGTTTAGGGTCGCGAAGCATCAGTGCCTCTTTCAATGCCATGCTCCTTGGAATGCAGGGCCCAAAAAGGGCCCAGCGTTGAAGAACAGTTCCCAGCTGAGCTTCGGATGGGCTTCCATGTTTCATTGTATGTAATTATGTGTTATATATATATACATGCATACACATAACGCTTGTGCTTAATGTTTTCAACGTTCAGGATTTCAGGCAAAACCCGGCTTGTGTCCAGACCTTGAAAGATGTGGCTTGGTCAAGGCACCTGTGAGTTTGGGATGGTTTCTTGATATTCACGGTGGGAACACTAGGTACCCCAGTAGTACCCTTTTGCCCGTTTTATTTTGGGGTCTCGTTATCAAAACTGAATAGTAGGAAAAAGGGTACCCTTATTGTTACTGGGTTACTGGGGAACCTGGAACATGATGGGCTCCTGGACTTGGACTTCAGGATGTATTCGGGGTTGAGGTTTAGCAATTTGAATCAAGAGCTTAACTACACTATACTTAAGTCCTAAATGTTGTAGACTAGGGGCCCCAAACGCTTTTAGAGATGATGAGGTGTATAGGGTCCAGGGCTTCATAGAATAGATTCTCATGGTTGATAACCCAGACCCCTGATTAATCGACCCCCTCCCCTTAATGGGGACTACAATAGGGATCTTAATATTTAGGCCCTTAAACGGAGGGGGTTTAGTAATCAGGTGTCTAAATTCTCAACCCTAACCTCTAAAACAAAACCCTAAACCCTAAAACCATAGGCCAATGCGGGCTCCCTAGCGTAAAGGCTACACAATTTTCCTTGGCATGAAGGCGACCTCTACTACTCATAAATAGCAAGAGTTCATGGGATCCTATACCCATCCCACCCTGACAACCCGCACCCCAAAATGAAACTAGAAGATTTTGGGGCCTCAGGTGACGCAAGATTTCTTCCGTCCTCAGAAGGGACCACAGTAGATTATGAAGAGAAACTGTATCACCGATTTGAACAACCCAACAAGTCATATGAAGTACTCAGTCGGTTCACGTTACGGGGTGTAGAGAGGTCCCTATACCCCAAGTCCCAAACTTGTTGCCCGATGTGGCTGTATATCAGGATCGAACTAGATTGGCGGAAGGCAAGTTTTTGCATGTACGCCCGCAACATTATGCAGACGTGCATATGAACTGCATTCCTTGTGATCATACTTGTTGTAGAAACCGTTATCGAACAGCTGATAAGTCTGTGTGGTGCCATGGAAAAAGCCATGGCTGGATTCTTCGGCACGTGCGGAGCACCTACCGAGACTAAGAAGATCAGTGCAGGTCATTGCCACTAGGCTCCATGCCTTCCCTCACATAGTACTGGCAATACTGTTGATACTAAAAATCCTGCATGACACAACTATACTATAGTACCATGATGTCCAAGGTTTACCGTACTTAGGGTCATGCAAGATTTTCACTGTCCACCGTAGTACCAGTAACAGTGATGGTTAGTGATGTTGGTAACCGCATACCGGAAAAAGTAGGGACCGTAAAGCTCGGTTGTCTATGATTTCCACCCGAACCTGATCAAAATTCCTTGTAGAAGCCCAGATATATCGGGGGACATGTGCTGAAGCTTGGAGTGCTATTGGCTGCAAGTTGTTTAACATTGCACGGAATGGCTAGTTACGGCTAGTTTCACTCATCATAGCGGGTCTTCGTAGCAATAACGTCGAAACTAGCCGTAGCAGCAGCAGGGATAGGAGAAAGAGGAATGATATTTCTAGTAGCACAGAGCTCGGTTAGAATGCATGGCAGGTGTTTGTTCCTGCCGCAATTAAGCAATAAAGAAGTAAAGACATTCATCAACCAGTTTCTCAGTCTCTGCACAGGCATGAGGTCTGCAGGTGTGCAAGAGTTCAGCACTCCCTACACAAGTTTAGGGTTTAGCGCTTCGGGTTGTTCACAATGCATAGGTATCGCATGTGCTCTTTCTAGAAAAACCATCTTCGGCTTAAGTGGTAGCTTCCACATTTTAAGACGCCCCCAATAGACCCCAACGTGCAAAAGTCCTTCTTATTGGAACCCCCAAAAAGGGATCTTTAATTTCCGGCAACCACCAAATCCTGAATCATGCATCAAGCTTTCATTGCTACAACCAGTCCCGGAGCCGTATCATCGCCCGTCTCTCGCTGTCCGAGGTAGGACTGTTTGGGGTTTTGGGTCTAGGGGTTTAGGGTTTGGGGTCTAGGGGTTTAGGGTCTAGGGTTTAGGGGTTGAGGGTTCAGGATTTAGAGTTTAGGGTTTGTTTCAGCTACCCTAGAGGTCTACATCGTATCAGGAGAGAGGGGTGTTCCAAAATCACGGTAAGAACCCCAGAGCCATTTAAACGAGGTGACCCAAATTTGGCATGCACCTTTATCTCAGCCACAGTTTTGAGAAAGCCTTGCATTGGTGCTAGCGTGTAGCAGTTGCGGTAGTACTCGTCGTCGCCGCCGTCATCACCGTAGCAGCGACAGCGGCAGCGACAGAAGCAGCAGCAGCAGCAGCAGCAGCAGCAGCAGCAGCAGCAGCAGCAGCAGCAGCGGTATGATGATGAGGAGGATGTTGATGAAACACTGTGCCATGCTACGCATCCATGCATTGAGTTTTGCAATATGTATGCCCTTCATTGGAGCGTGTTTCGTCCCTTGGCACAGAAAGGCCAAGGCAGTTTCCTGCAAACAGTTTCGAGCATCTTCACATAAGAGAGGTTTCCACATTCTCATTACGACGTGCTGTTAGCTTTTGCAGCACGTTTTGTGAGCATGCTTGAACTCCAACAAGCCACGGGGTTTGTGGAATGAGCCTTTGTTGGGGCTCCAAGTCGATAAATGGAACCTTCTTTGGGCCCCTAAGGTCCATGAATTGTGCCCGAATCCTTGAACCTTAAACTCTAATCCCTAAACCCTCAATCTAATAGATAGTGCCCACTTCGGGCCTAGAAAGTCTACAGATAGCACCAATTTTAGGATATTTGGGGCTGCTAGGCCCTGGACCCAGGACCCCGGAGAAGCAGGCATGTCCGCAAGGTCCTATTGTTGTTACATAAAAATCCTGCAGGACCTTACTACTACAAGGGCCCCCAAAATAGTTTTTCTAAAAAAATTAAATGTTTGGCAGTTCTAATCCTACTAACAACTTATAAGTATATTTTTGAGTTGGGTTCTGAGGCCAGGTTAGACTATACTAGAGTACCCGAATTTCCAAGGTGTGAGGTACTAAGGGTCATGCAGGATTTTCAGTATCCGCCGTATACCTGTGCCTAGTATTAGGGCCCGGGATTGGCAATCATATGTGGTAGTTTCCCTGAATAAGGGGACCCCAACAAGAAAGCACCAAACTACTTTTAGTCCCTACTACTGGGGCCACCAGAAAGGTACGCCTAATTTTGAGAAACTCCAATTGCTAGGTACATGTATGTACGCGAAAGATCGGGCCCACAGCTCGTGCGTTTTAATCGGGTTTAGGGCTCAGGGCTTAGGGTTTATGGTT